TACATTAGGTTATTTTTTAATTTAAATAATACAGTATACGTATTCGATTATCAATTCACTCAGATTACTAATCATTGGTATCAAAAAATGGGTGAATCGTCAAATGCAACCTTAGAGAAACAACACCTAGCGAAAATGCATTAAATTGCAGATTAAAAAAGAAGGAATTTTCAAACATCATAATGATTGGAGATTCAAAACAAAAAGATTCAAATTACTGATTTTTTAGTTCATTAAATTATCATTATTGTTAATATATTTAATATTAGGAAACTACTATTTCCACCATACGGCCAGAATTAGAATTAGGGTTAGGGTGAATCGCATTTTGTAGTGTTAGTTATTGTTGTTATTTTATATGATTATCCTGGTGGACATAGCAAATTAACCTGGTGGAAATAGTAATTCCCTTAATATTATTATAAAATATCCGAAATGATTACGTTAAATAAAAAAATATATTGACCCTAATATTAAATAAAAATATTTCATAGATCAAATAGAACACTATAAATTTTTTAATATTTTTTTAATAAGTAACGTAATATTTTTTTTAATTACATATGTTAAATTCTGATATACTATAAAATAAAAAATAGTTTTGATTAATTAGTCCCAATAAAGAATATTGTCGTATTAACTTAGTTGCGTGAAATCAATTGTATGTTATTGTGCATTATTAAAAAGTTTATAGAAAGTTGTATTATTTTCTGAGTTGACCCATACAGATCTATTATCTGGATTTAAGTTCCTCCGCTGTTACTATCGTAACTGTTTAGCCTATACGTGTGACCGAAACCTTTCGGCCATTTCGGCCACGTGGCAAATGATTAAAGCAAAGTTTTCGATAATTTGTAAATATAATAAAAATTAGGCTTCATAAATGTTAAGCCAGTTCCGCAGAAACTTATGCAAGATCTTTTGGTATTTCGGCGAGACCTTTTGGTATTTCAGCAGACTTTGGAATTTTCGGCAATCTTACTTAATATACAGCCGAAACTTCCAGAGTCTGCTGAAATACCAAAAGGTCTTGCCGAAATACCAAAAAACCTTGCATAGGTTTCTGCGGATCTGGCTTAACATATAGGAAGCCTAATTTTTACCATATTTACAAATTATCGAAAAGTTTGCTTTAATCATTTGCCACGTGGCCGAAATGGCTGAAAGGTTTCGGTCACATGTATATTCTGAACTGTTTAACATCTCTAAATTAGGGGCAAAAAATTTATTATATAATTTAACATAGAACTCATACATGGAATCTATACATGTGACCTGAAACCGAAACCTTTCGGAAAAAGAAAATAGTTTCGGGTCGCAAGTATAAGAGAATCTCTAAAATGTCAAGTCAGAGTTCGGCAAAAAAAAGCATTCAAAGCCGTGTCTATCATTAAATAAAAGATAATTTACTTCGAATTGGTAAGAATTATCAAGATCTTTGCTTTGTATTACATTAATTTAAAAAATCAAATAGGAATATATAAGTATTTTTTTTTTTATAATTTTGTTAATAAATAGTATTTTTTTTTTAAGAGTGAAATTCACCGGTATATATGTCTGTTTGATTATTTCTTAATAAACAAACCATTTTTTCTTTAACTTTAGGGTTAGGGCGAGGCCTATATTAGCGTTACACAAGATCCTGCGATTTTATTGGTTAATAATATAATCGGTACAAAGGATACACTATAAAACCAAGCCTTCCTGTTCACAACGTTATTAATAAGGATTTACCATAAAACCAAGCCTTCCTGTTCACAACGTTGTTAATAATAAGGATTTACTTGATATAACTACTGAAAGTTCTCCCGTATTAATAAAAGGTAATTAACAAACTGTGTTTTAAATGACTTCCAAGAGTTGGTCGCCCCTCTGCCTTGAATGAACCAACCCAACGAAAAATTTTAAACTTAATCACCTTCCGTCCCTGCTCCACAGCTGTTGAAGTACGTTCCCACTTGAGAGAACAAGATGGTATAGAAATTTCAGCATCTACGATACGCCGTATACTTCGTAGCTATGGTTTGGTGTCTGGGGTTAAGCGAAAAAAACAAGATGTCTCCCGTTAATTTTGGTTTTATTATTCAAGAAGATGAGACGGAATTGGAGTGTGTATACCTACTTGAGCGAAACACACATGAAACGTAGGTTAGAATTTGCAAAAAAAATATATTTATGAAAATTGGACAGTTGAAGACTGGTCTAAAGTAATTTGGTCCGACGAATCAAAGTTCAAGGTTTTTGGGTCAGATAGCAAACAGTATTACTAGAAGCATCCAGGTGAATCATTAAACCGCTTCCATATTAAACCCGGATAACTATATGCACAATTCAATAAAATCTAAAGAACAATTTTTTTATCTCTATTCTATATTTTCATTATTATTTGTATTTTTGATCACATCAATAAAGCTGCACCTTATGGCTCTACTTCGCATATACTTTTTGCAATGTATATTTCTGAATTTATTTCAATGTATGAATACCCACATATTTAGAATTATAAATTTTTTGGCAAAAGTAATCGGCGTGAACAATTGTTCACGCGTACGTGATTTTTTATTTACATATATTGTTAACTCGTAATAAATCTACGCCTTATAAAAAATTATTATCGAACATGCAATCCGAATTAGATTTGTTTGAGACAGGAAAATACTGGGCTTACAGCTCGAATCAAAGAATTGGAGCAGAGACCACTAAACTCATGACTAGAATTCAACACCGCCAATTTAGATTGTTACCCCAAAATTTAAAGGGTATTAACTGATCTGTTGGGGCGATTATCATTTGACAATATAAAAATTTACATATTTGCGTAATTAATAATAATAAAGATTAGGTTAATTAATAAATTTTTTCTCTGAAGTAATCGGTTGAAGTGTGGGGTAATCGGTTAGACGTTAGTTCTCTTCGTGATTTTTTGATTTTAGAGTACATTGTCCGATGTCCAACAAAGAATTATAAATTAAGGAATCGCCGAACAAATTTTATTCAAAATTTATCAGTTTAGTGATTAAAAGAAAAGACCCAATAAACTAAATTAGCAGTGTTATACAGAATTGGGTACACGCTAAGGAAGAGAATTTCAAGCTTAAAGCCGAAGTAGAGAAATTAAGGCAGGAGCTCAGACGGACAAACCTAAGTCGTTACTAAAGTGCAGGATGCACCCTCTATTAAAATATTTCACCTAACTCAACATATATCAAAGATCATTCTAACGAGGAAAGTTTATATAACAAACATTTTTAAATTCATATTATTGATCTCCATTTTTCCGAAGTTAATTCTAATAATATTTCTGAACAGACAGCTGATACATTTGATAACGCACCGAATTTTAATACGTCAATAGCCTAAATCGCAGAAGATAAAGAAGGGACGATTTTCTGGATTGGATAGGAAAGGGTTGGTGATACAATAAGAGAGAGAAATCGGGAAAAAAGCTTCGAGATTAAGGTGCACACCTAACTCTTCAGGAAACAAAGCAATTACTGCTTAATCATAATAAAAATCTGAATATTCCTGAAATGAATCTTTTTTATCCAAAGTCCAAACCATCTAATCTGTCGTTCAATCAGGCACATGGTTGTATTTCCTCCGAAATAAAATTTCACTATAATCAAAAAGTAGAACAGGGTTTAATCAGTGAGCTATTTGAATTTATCAGGAATAATGATCTATATCCTTATAAATTTATATATCCAGCTGTATATATTTAAAGAGAATTGCTATCACCACTCACCAGTGTGTAATTGGCCAATAAATTTGCAGGATCAGGAGCAGGGACGATGATATGTTATGCTTCACAAAATATCACAAAGAAATTCACGTAATTCTGCCAATAAAGTAATGCAACTAGGGGCATGCCAAAAAATCTGATAGGCATGCCATAGTAATATAATACTTGTGGCAGCTGATGCTGAAATTTAGGGTCTCGATTTAAACCCTTAAAACCTACTAAAATCCACTTAAATATAGTCCTTTATCATAAAACCCAACTCTAACTCTAAAAAATCCCCCCAGAATGTACTCTAGAAAATTTTTAAATTTTAAAAATTTCAGTTTCGGCATCGAATTCTAAAAACAGATTATTTAAAATTCCTAATAATTTATTTTTAGAATTTCTGGCAACACTCATATATGGAGGGCCTACAGAAAAACAAGGCTTTGGGCCATTTTAAAATTTGATATTTAAATGAGTATATCTTGTGATCCAATGATTGGAATTAAATGATTTTTATATTATTCAGTAAGATGAATTGAATGCCATAAAAATCATTTAATTCCAATCATTGGATCACAAGATATACTCATTTAAATGTCAAATTTTAAAATAGCCCAAAGCCCTGTTTTGCTGTAGACCCCCCTCATATACTGTATCAAATTAAATAAAATTTTATTAACCAAGAAAATTACTCTAATATTATAAAAAAAAATTTTATTACTATTAAGATCTATCTATAATACAAATAAAAGATATTAAATAATTATTTACTTTTAAATACTGTATATAAATTAATAAATAATCAATATACTTATGACTAAATTAATAAAAATAAGGGTTATAGCGTCTTTCCTATGAAATACTACTTGGACTCAATATCGGGGACAATGAGTATGGTCACTATGGCAGTTCGCACATTACTTAGAAAATTAGTCACTAGAAGGTATAATACCAAATAGTAACGGTAGCGTTCTAATTTGTATTTAAAACTTGTCTAAATAAAGTATTGGCATGATTGTTAAAAAAAAAAAAATAAATAATTTACAAAATTCTAATAAAATAATTAAAAATAAAATTTGAATCCCTTTTTAAACCTCTAAAACCCACTTATACTTTTCTATTAATAATTCTAATTCTAAATCCTGACCCAAACCCTAAAAAGGTCTAAAAAGGTCTAAAAAAATACACTCAATAAATTTTACTACATACGCGTAATTTTCAAAATAAAATTTTTATCTTAATCTTCCACAGTAATTAAGTTTAAATATCCAAACGTTTCTGTTTCCTAGTGATAATCAAAAATAAGCAAAAAAATAGCTGCAGGAGGTGTTACGAAGGTAACCGTGAGATTTTAACGTCGATGCATCATTTGTTTGATTTTTTCGAGTGCACTCCAAATACCCGATAAGTTGTAGGGGTTTTTTTTTGTAGAATCCTCTGGGTTAAGATAAGGATAAATGCTTACTAAATTTTAATTTTCGGGATTTCAACAATGAATCCGATTTTATCGAATCAGCAAGAAATTCTTCATATTTGCCCATCTTACGATAGGTTTTTCCACGTTCATCAAATGTTTCTGCATCATTTGGTTCAATTTCTAATGATTTATTTAAATCTGCAAGCGATGCTTCGTGCTTGTCCATCATGCGATAAGTTTTTCCGCGATATTTTAATGTTTCTGCATCATTTTGATCAATTTCTAATGATTTGTTTAAGTCTACAAGTGATTGTTCATACTCATCCATCTCGCAATAAGTTATTCCACGAAATTTTAAAGCTTCTGCGTCATCTGATTCAATCTCTAATGATTTATTTAAATCTTCAAGTGATTTTTCATATTTTTTCATTTTTTGATAAGTTGCACCACGTTTTCTTAATCCCCATGAATTATTTGGATCAATTCTTAATGACCTGTCTAAATCCTCAAGCGATTCTTCATATCTGCCCATTTCACGATAAGTTTCTCCACGAATCATCAATGCGATTGCAGTTTTACCTTGAGGACCCATCTTTAATGATCTGTTTAAATTTGCAAGAGATTCTACATATTCGCCCATTTTGCAATAAGTTTCTCCACGAATAATCAATGCACATATATAATCAGGATCCATTTCTAATGATCTGTTTACGTCTTCAAGTGATTTTTTATATTTCTTCATCTTAAGATATGTTGCCCCACGATAGGTTAATGTCCGTATAATATTTGGTATAATTTGTTCAATTTCCAATGATTTTGATAAGTCTTTAAGAGATTCATCATATTTTTTTAACCAGAAATATGTTGACCCACAAAATCCCATAGCCGATGCATTTTTTGGATCAATATCTAATGATTTATTTAAATCTTTAAGTGCCTCTTCATACTTCTTCATCATGAAATAGGTTTCCCCACGAGTTCCTAATGCAAAAGCGTTACTTGGTTCAGTTTCTAATAAATTATTTAAATATACAAGCTTCTCTTCAAATTCCTTCGACTCGCGATGAGTTCTCAATGCAAAATCATCATCTGGGTCAAAAACTGGCTCTATTTGTATGCAATTTAACCTATCTAAAATTTCATTGATTTCAGGACGTAGTTTTGGATTACCATACCAAGCATCGAGATAAATATATACAAAGTCATATGGTGTTCCATTAATTGGAGATTCCCGTTTGTCATCATTTACATGTGAAATTATTTGTGAAAAGGCCATATCTTTAAAGGGAGGTTTTCCACTTGACAGTTCCCAGAAGAGCATTCCAAGACTATAGATATCGAAAGGTTTATCTCGGCTATATTCTGGATCTTGAAATAATTGTGGAGCACGATAAGCAGGAAGTCCGCAACCTCCACTAATAGATAATGAATTATTTTTTAACGATTTTGATAAACCGAAATCCGTAATTATCAAACTTCCGTTATGTACCAATATGTTTTTATCATGCTATTTTATTGGTCAAATTGGTGTTAATATATACGCAACAAAGATAAAATAAATAAATAAAAATTAGACCTAAAAAACTTACAAGGTCACAATGAACAATATCTATACTATGCAAGCAACTAATTCCACTGGCAATTTCTTTTGCCATTCTAATTTTATTTGTCCAATCCAATTCAGAAAAATGATCATTTAAATAGCTTCGAAGGTCTCCATTATTTGCGTATTGGAGAACCATATAGTGTTCTTTGTTAGTATCTATTGCATTAAATTTCATAAATTAGGTTTTAATGAAGGTTTTATTGACCTATTGCACAAAATTAATTCGTGTGGCAGGGAATAATGAAATATACCACAGACGAGAGGCATCGAGATATATTTAATTATTTCTCCACGGTGAGAATAAAATTTGTACTTTCTTTAAACTTGTGATTATGGTAAAAAAAATAACATACCTAAAGTGATGCCATAGAGCCGTATTATATTTTCATGATCGAATTCTTTAATTTTTTTAGCCTTATAATAAATATTTGGTCGTAACGTTTAGAATATTAATGGTACAATCAGTTAGGCTATATAAATTGATTTTTTGTTCTCATAACCTGGCGGGGTGACTTTTAAAAAATTGTAATCGAATTTTAATTTTTTTTTTTACCTATCAGTTATATAAAATTTTTTTTTAATACTTTAAAATTTTATGAGAACAAAACGTTAACTTTGTATAGCCTTATCACGAATCATATTATAAATACAGAAATATGATTTATACCTCTCTTATAAAAGAATCTTGATTAGTGATATGTAATTTTTTTAAAGCCACAATAGATGCTACAGTTTCTTTTGTATCTTTTGAACTAGCCTGATATACTTTGCCAAACCCTCCATTACCAATAGGTTTGAAATTCTCAAAACAATTATACTCTATATATTTAATATCTTTACATGCCATTTTTTTTTGTTCAGATATTATTTGTATTTAAACAAAAACCTATATTCAAAAATATGGTGCGCAGTTCGCGTAGTTTATTATAAAAGTTTTTTTACTATGAGTGCTAAAGGTCTAATAAGTGCAGCACTCAAATAAATTAGAAGATATCCGCCAATTTTATTTATAACAAATTTATTATACCGATAAAATTGTAAGGATAACGAAGAAAAACGAATAACAGATCGCATTCTTAACGTTACCGCTATATAAATTACTAATCTCAATTCTAAGATTGGATCCGGGTATTTAATATATATTACGCTAAAATTTGCAATAACGATAAGGATTGGAACTGCATAAAAGTTGTTCCAAATTTCGGTATTATTAAATACCCGAGTTGACCTGGATAAATTATTATGTCATTCAAGCAAATATCTTACCCGGTGCTGACAAATTTTATGCATGCGCCAAAGATGCTTATATGATTTAACAATGCTTTTTTTAGTTTTTTTTTTTGGTGTTAGATTTTCTTATGTGAAATTTTTTTTAATTCATTTTAGGGGTACGGGACTTGTTCAGAATGCATAGGTCACGGAAAACCTGTTTAATGGAAACTCAAGGTTCATGTATAGAAATGCCAAAGGATCATTTTGAAACCGGACAATGGAAGATTATATTAAAAGCTTGTGGAATAAGGGCCTGCAAATTACCTATTTTTGTGGCCCGGCCCAGCTCGCACCTAGTTTTAAAATTTTTTTGTCAGCCCGGCCCGGCCTGCACTTAGTTTTAAAATTTTTTTTCCGGCCCGACCTGGCCTGCATATATATAAATTTTTCTTCAGGCTAGCTTAACCCAGCCTAGCGCGCAAAATTTATGAAAATTTTTAGGCCTGCATTGGCCCGCAGTTGTAAAATTTTGCTTCAGGCCCGGCCTGGCCCGCAAAAATTTGCAGGCCGGGTAAGATAGTTGCTT